TGAACAGCTGCATGTAAATCATTGAAGTTAGACTACTCCCTCACACCATACACAAAAATGAATTCAAAATGTGTTAAAGACTTAAACATGTAGACAAGACAGTATAAACCTCTTAGAAGCAACCATAGGCAAAACATCTGACATACATCTCAGCAATGTTTTCCTAGAGCAGTCTACTAAAGCAATAGAAATACAACCAAAAATATACAAGAGGGATCTAATTAAACATACAAACTTTTACACAGCTAAGGAAACAATAAGCAAAACAAAAAGACAACCTACCTATGGAATGGGAGAAAATATTTGCAATAAATGAAACTGATAGGGGCTTAATTCCCAGAATATTTAAACAGCTTTTACACTTAATAAGAAAGAAGAACAAACAACTCAATTCAAAAATGGGCAGAAGTCCTAAAGAAACATTTCTCCAATGAAGACGTACAAATGTCCAGTAGACACATGAAAAAATCTTCACTATCATTCTCAGAGAAATGCAAATCAAAACTGCAATCAAGTATCACCTCTAACCAGTCAGAATAGCCATCATTCAGAAGTTCACAGACAATAAATACTGGAGAGGCTGCGGAGAATTGGGAACACACCTACACTGTGGTGGGAATGCAGTTTGGTGGAGCCATTGTGGAAAACTGCATAGATGTTCCTCTAAAGAAAAAAAAATGACCTCCCATATGAACCAGCAATCCCACTCGTGGGCATATATCTAGAAGGAACCCTAATTCAAAAAGACACCTACACCCCAATATTCACAGCAGCACTATTTACAATAGCAAGACATGGAAACAACCTAAATGTCCACTGACAGATGACTGGATAAAGAGGTTGTAGCATATTTGTCCAATAGACTACTATTCAGACATAAAATAATAATAAAATAATGCCATTTGTAGCAATATCAATGGACCTGGAGGATGTCATTCTAAGTGAAGTAAGCCAGAAAGAGAAAGGAAAATACCATATGAGATCGCTCACATGTGGAATCTAAAAAGAAAAAAAAAAAGAAACAAAAAGATAAACTTATCTACAGAACAGAAACAGACACAGAGACACAGGAACCAAACTATGGTTACCTGAGGGGAGAGGGTGTGGGAAGGAATAAATTGGGAGTTCAAGATTTGCAGATACTGAGTATGTAACAAA